AAATCGGCCACTCGGAGGTTAGACCCTAACTCTCAACTAGCAACACACGTTGGGGAAACGGGGCATACTTTTGACCTCCAGAGGGCTACCATCTTAGGCCGAGGCAACACAAAAACAGAACGGCTAACTCTTGAGGCGTGGTTCTCCGATACCCACTCTATCAACAGGCATCTGGACCTTCCTGCAGCTTACAAAGTCCTACGTCATCACAACTGTAGAGCTCAGGACCAAACAACCACACCGGACTTAAGAAGACAGCACGGAGATAGCCCGACGCTGACCTTACTCGGTGAGGAAGAACAAGAACCGCCAGACCGACCGCCCGACTAAAGTCCAATCAGCTCCCCTCGACGGAGTGGTGACTCATAAAGCGCACAGGCAAAAACGCCCGTCAACCATTTCCTGAGAGGCCGACGCAGCATGAGGAGAGAGAAAAATCGATCAGCATGAGGCCGGCCAACACAGCTTGTCACTTCAAATTAACTTTCTGATCGATTAGGTGCAGTTTACGCTTTGACAATGAAGAGCCGACCCAGCTCTTTGAAACGTCAGCAGTTAAATAAACTTGTTCCGGAGAGCCAATTTTCTTCTTCTAATAATCTTCCCGGATCTCTAAACTTTTCCAATCTGAGCAAATACACTGATTGATCAAGAAACCCTGGAAGCTGATTGGTTGTCCCACCTAGCCACTACATTCCTTCCATCAACTGACGGGTCCAGCGTTCTAAACAATAGAGCAGTTTTATTCACGCATTATCTACCTTTACGGAATCCGTACTGAGCGTCTTATAGCAGATTATGCTGCTCTAGGGAGGGCATTCGTTCTTGCTTATTTATATTTTCCGCACTTTTGTAGTGAGGCTGTTTAGTCTGCAGTTGTTTGCGGAGACCTCGCTTTTTCCGTTAGATAGGGGTGTAATCTGTGCAGATTTCCAGTCGGCGGTAAATAGGCTGTTTCGAACAAGGATTTGAAGAGCATGGACGGCGGTTTGGACAGTTATCCAGCGTGTTACTTCATCAAGTTGTTCGGCATGTCCTCTGACCAAGACTATTTTGACTCATTCAGCGTCAAGAGTTCCATGCGAGCAATAGATTCTTCGAAAAAATCACAGTCTCCATCGTTGGGTGCTTCACAAAATTGAAGTCGGGAGGAATAAATCCACTTTACCTCCGAAGGATGGACTTGAACAAGTATGACAGTTGTTGAGTTTTTCCCCTATTCGCACTAAGCTCTAGGTCTTAACTAGGTTTCAATAGGGGAAATGGGCCTCTGTTTCGCGTACTCTTTCATATGTTGCCGTAGAATAACTTCTGATTCCTTATAGTCTGGCTCACCAAATCCTTCCCGAAAACATACCGTGTCCTGAAGATTAGTTGTTTCTCTTCCTATCCAAGAGCAATATCCTCACTTTATATGCAGGGTCAAAGTGAATGTCAGTATGCGAATCGGGAACAATTAGGAAACGTTACTAAAACATAGGCAGTAATATTATAGCGGTAACTAAATGTCGTCACGAACCGTCAGGACGATATTGGTCTTGTGGCATTGTGAAGTGTAATTGTGTGCTGAACCAGCTTTATCTTAAAAGACCTGAGGAATGAGGACATTAAGATATATGCAGGCAGGGGGATGGGCCTCTGTTAGCGGAGACGTAAAACACTTTTTGGCTTATATGGCAAAAATGGTCCGACATCTCGTTCCCAAAACAGCGATCGCACCCTTTTCAATGACATCAGGTAAGTTGTTTGAATTAATTCCACACATTAGCGCCAAAAACTGCACTCAGTTAACTTCAGGCGTATGTTCGATCGGCAGGCGTCTGTGCGCAAATACACTGATTGGTCAAGAAGCACTGGACCCTGATTGGTTGTCCCACCCAGATTGTCGAGGTCGGAATACGAGCGAAAATATTCCGAGACCTGTGTCCTTCAGTGCATAACTGGTAATGTGGTTAATGTATATATTCCTCCCGTGCTGTGGCTTCTTGTTTCTCAGAGACATATTTTATTATGAAGAGAGAAGACTCGTCGGAAAAATTGAGTTGTACTCGTAAATTTTCGAGCTGGTGACACCAACCCGTCGTCAGACGAAATAAACAGTGGAGAAAGTGAACTGGTCAGAATAAATTTGCTGGCGTGACAGGGCAGCCAGTGACAGGCAAGCAACTTATGTGTGAATGGGGGTGGACAGATAATTAGGCTGGGATCCGTGGCGGGGGAGGGAAGGGGGAATTGTTGCGTCTCCCTGTGTTGGAGGGTAGGGGGGATGACGAATCAATGGAACTATGGGCAGTGGGATGAATGGTCGTCGATCCGGCATGCGGGCGGAGATCAGTGAGCCCAACGTAGAGGTGTTACGGGTTGCAGTTGCGGTTCGCTGTGTCTGGGGGTGTAATGGGGTGACGAAATAGTGCGATTCTACATGGCCCAGTGTGGATTAGCGGCTGCTGTTAGGTCGTGGGCGCAAGTCAGTGAGCCGGGCGCGCAGACCTTCGTAATGAGCATCTAGATCGACATGGCGATTGATGCTTGTCGGGTTAGAGTGCCAGGCTTCGAGGAATTCACGAGCGTGTTTGGTGTTCGCCATGGCAACAACTTCAGTTCCTTCCCAGTTGAAGCGATGGTCGCATTCAAGGGCGTGTGCAAACACGAGTGACAAGGGATCACGTCGGCGAATGGCTAGTTTATGCTCGTTTATACGCGTCCCAAGTCGTCGGCCTGTATGGCCAACATAGTCGCAAGAGCGGTTGGCGCACGGAATGCGGTAGATGACATTGGTTTGCTGCTCTTTAGGTATAGGGTCTTTCACTCGCGATAGTGTTGCGCGCACAGAGGACGCCGGCTTGTGGGCAAGGAAGATGCCAAACCGGTTTAGTTGTCGGGCGATCGCTTCGGAAATACCCTGCATGTAGGGTAGCGAGTAGAATTTCCGATGTTCTGGTCCCTCATTAGAACCAAAGCCTTGTGGTTGTCTTTGATGCCTGAGACAATTTTTTACAAAGCTGACCGGGTATCCGTTGAGTCGGAATAACCGATACAGGAAAGCGAGTTCTTTCTTACGTAGATCGTCGCTGCTGCAGTACCGATAGGCCCGGTGGAAAAGGGTTCGGACACAGCTCCTTTTATGAGCCGCAGGATGGTTGCTTTCATAATTAAGAATGACGTCAGCACTGGAGTCTTTTCGGTAGACGCTTGTTGCAAGGCCGCCATCACTTAGTCTTTGGATACTAACGTCTAGAAACGGGAGAATGCCTGTTGCCTTTTCGCAAGTAAACTGGATAGCTGGGAACACGCTATTCAGACTCAGGTGTAGCTGCTCAATTTCGCAGGTCTTCATGATAACAAACGTATCATCTACGTAGCTGAGCCACATTTTTGGTTTAAAGGTTCGCATAACCTCCTATTCTAGTTGTTTTAGTACTAGTTCAGCTAGTAGACCTGATATTGGCGAGCCCATTGGTGTGCCCCTAACCCTATTTTATTATCCCTAAACGCGCCAGTGAGATCTGCAATTGTGTTGATTTAGAAAATGCACTGAGTTTAAAACAGACTGTCAGTTTGTATAGATTACAAAGTGGAATATCAGGCGGTGCAGAGAGTGATGAACACAGTGATTGCAGCTTCAGAAGGCAATTTTCCCCAAAAAATTTCTCAATGTGTCCATTTACTTAAAAGCAAAGTGGACAGGTAATTGACTGCAAAAACCCGGGTAGCGGGAAGGGCATTCAGCGTGTGCTGCAGTAAGTCCTCTCGTTGTTACGATGTAGCCCATTCCACATGCCGGGCGTTGCGTGCGCCTTTTGAAAATTATGTGAATAAATTGAAGAGCGAGCTGTGTGCTTGCTGCAAGTAGACTGAATCATCGCTGTTGTGCGGGGTTTCGTAAAGCCACGTAGGTAATTTTTTTCAGGTCGAAAACTCAATTCAGAATTTCGGATAACATTTGATGAGTTAGCAAATCTACCGTAAATGACTGAAGATTCTGAAAGAATTTGTCGAGCAGCGGCAGAATATCGGCGAAACACGCGTGTGTGGACTTTTGGCTAGTACCTGTGCTGTTGGTATGGAATCACCTTGTCCTAAAGCATTTGTCCTCAAAAAAACGTCTCATTGTGACCTTTTATCGAATGAATAGAGTGGACTGCAAAAACCCGGGTAGCGGGAAGGGCATTCAGCGTGTGCTGCAGTAAGTCCTCTCGTTGTTACGATGTAGCCCATTCCACATGCCGGGCGTCGCGTGCGCCTTTTGAAAGTTATGTGAATAAATTGAAGAGCGAGCTGTGTGCTTGCTGCAAGTAGACTGAATCATCGCTGTTGTGCGGGGTTTCGTAAAGCTACGGCCTCCTGCAAAGGCGACTAACTGTAGGTGTGCTACCTCATGAAGTGTTAACCAAAATTCAGAAATATGTTTTCAGCGGCCTTTTGCAGATTTTACTCAGAATGTCAATAAACAGGTTGAGAAAGCATTTTGGACAAAGCAGAGGATGGAAGCCAATGTGGTGTTTTGCAGTTCAATTTTTTGTGGAAGGCAGCCGTTATCCGTGGAGAGAATCTGTTTATAAATGTCCCTCGCGCGACTCAGAATTCGAATTCGCGCCCAGAATGTGATGACCACGCTGATTGCAGAATCAGAAGACATTTTTCTTCAAAAATTGTCTTCATGTGGCCCCTCACATTCAAAAGCAAAGTGGACAGTTTATTGTCTGCCAAAACCCGGGTAGCGGGAAGGGCATTCAGCGTGTGCTGCAGTAAGTTCGCTTGTCGTTACGATGTAGCCCATTCCACAAGCCGGGCGGCGTAGGCGCACTTTGCAAATTATGTGAATAAACTGAAGAGCGAGCTGTGCGCTTACTGCGAGAAGGTTGAATCATCAGTGATGTGCAGGGCTTCATAAGGCGGCGTATTTCTGCAAGGATGATACAATTGCTCAGTTCTGACTGATCCCTCTAGCACTCGTAGCTTCATTCGTGGACGCGGGCTATAAATTTTAATGTAAGACACAGATGAACGGAGACATGCGTCTCAGCCTACTTGCTGAGAGACTTTTGAAGCTTATGTACATGCAGACTGTTAAATATTTTCCTACGGTGTATCCTACAGTCTCCTGGCTTGCGCACATTCAAAAACTAGCGTTGGTACAGTTCATTCCTAATGTCGCGTCGTTTTGCTAAGATGATGCAAATGGCACACGCCGCAGTTTAAAACAACTTCCCCTCTAATTCGTACATTATTATCAGATCAGAAATTTAACATGCAATACCTCTCATAAGGTGTCAATTCCGAATGTCGTAATATGCTTCTTATCTTTGACGCTAAATTCTTCCTTCAGTTTTGTTTTCCTACACTGCATACCGAAGCGCCATGCATCCTTCCTCATTGTAATCAACCGAACGGATAAATCGGATGCATCTGTGTTCATCATAAGGACTTACATATGATCTGAGGTTTCCTAAAGAAATATTCGGGTTATTGGGGTGAATGGGACTGCCGGGGACTCGATTGGAGGAAGCGATCTATTAATAGAAGCATCCTTTCAAATTTTTTTGAGCTGAAACTTTTCCCTTGACATCCAGTTGTCTACTCCACTTGGAGACCATAAGATCCTGAAGAAGTTAACACGATCGCTGGGACAAGAGCTTTATTAGCCTAACGTTTCTGATTCCTGCTCGAACCCATCATCAGAGACAAAAGTCGATACGGGTGGTTCATGCGCAAGGTGCTGCCGTATTCATAGGATGCAGTCACCATGCCACCGCATACCTATGAAAATTCAAGGCTCTCCCCTTCATTGGGGATTGTTGCACTCGGTGTGAGGACCGTTTGATGGCCGAAATTCGCGCCGTTAATTGCTGCAATTTCATCACGTGCGTTGGATGTTGGTGTGATGATTGCTCGACCATTTGACGCACCGACCCTAGTTTTGGAATAACTGTTCATCTGTGCGCTCCCCGCCTGGCCAATTTCTCCGCCTAGGCGAAGTCTAATAGAATGGGTGCCAGCGAACCATGACTCAAGCAGCTCCCGGCCCACGCGGTTGTCTCCTCTAACTCGCATTTCGGCCTCTTCGAATTCTAATGTGTGGCCGGATCTCGTCGAATGAACCACAACTGCACCAGATTCGACAAACGACTCCAGACGATTCTTGACGTGGCAGCGGGTCTTTCAGCTTTAATGTGGCGGTTGCTTCCTTTCTGTGTGCAACTTCAACTCCAAGTGGCGCATAAGACCACTTTGTTCGAGAAATTGCGTCAAACTACTTCCAGTAATGTGTTTCTGCGACATTTTGTGAATGTCTGACGTGACTGTTAAAGGTTTTGCGCATCAGTGATTTCCCCAATGTCGGAGTAACTCCAAACCGACGCATTAATTTCTAGAGAATATTACAAAACGGAAATTTGAAAACTGGAGTATTTACCAGAAGACGTACCGGGAACGCCGATTTCCTCACAGTGGCAAAATATCGACCAAAAACTGGTCTGGACCTCTAGTTAGTACGGTGAATAGAGTAATACACACTCTATTCCATTGGCTCCGACGTAGACTCTTTTCCACGCAGATTCGCTGCAGCGATTTCTGACATCAGAAGCTAGCATGCTTCTTCTCTACACTCGGGAGCTTAACTTCCTTACCTAAGAAGGCGTTATGTAATTACCGACAAAGATAAAGTAGACTGGAATAGCTATTTCGGGCTTATTAGCCGTCGTCAGCCAGTCACACCCAACCCCAGCAGCGGCTGCTGGGGTTGGGCTCGCGAGAGAGAGCCGGTAAGGCACAACGGAACGAGTGAGTTCCGTAAGAACGATCGGTGAGCATAATTCAAATGCTTGTCCCAGTACTGTGGTATGCGGCCATTTCAGCTTGGACTCCCTATCCCTAAAATGACAACGGTTTCAAGTCGTAGACGGCACATTTCGAAAATAAATTGCTGTCTCAAGCGAAGGACAGTCAGTTAAGTAATCCTGTGATTTATGCAGTACCAGTGTACATGTCTACTGGGATATTCACTAAGATCTATTTGTTTTCGCAGAACGCTCAGTTTTACAATAATTCTTAGAGACAAACAGCATAGTTATAGCCAATTAAATATTCGAATTAACACCTTGTATGGCGGAGTTGCCCCATTTAAACCTAAAAAGCCCCATCCGGCTGTTCTCGACCCGGGGGCTGTTATTTTTGGCGTTTACCTGGGTACTGGTGGGATTGTAGGACCCCAAGAAGGTAGCAATTCCAAAAATATACCCGAAAATTCAGTGCGACTACAAACATCGCTTCTTACTTGCCGTTTCCATTGGTTGAAATTTCCTTGTTGTACTGACTTAATGTAAACTTACCAGCGGTGGTTTATTCAAAGTCAGTGTTTCTTTGAAAATTGCTTTTCTGCGTACACTTTAAATTTTCGTGCTCACTTTCCTTGCTAAATTACAGTGTATGAAAAGTCTTTCGGCAGAAATTTATCGATTTTCTGTGTCTTCTTGCCTTCCGCCTGCTCGCTGTTGTCCCCCATTCAACGTATGACTCGGTTCACAGGCTTGCTTAAGTTAGTTGTGGTCTTCAACCCTACCGTGGCCTTTACGTATATGTTTATATTATATACAGCCTATTAATCTTAATAGTTTTTGTCAAAACAGACTGAAAAGCTCAGAGAATACTATTGAATTAGTAACGCCCCGTCTCAGCAAACGGGCACCTATCAGTGGAACCAATGACACTTTACCTTAACCAGTTTTAAAGCTATTAGAAGTTTACTGGACACAAGCAAACCAGCGCCTTCGTCCCAGAACAGCGGATATAGTCAATTTTATAGCACCAGGTGACTTGTGTAAAATATGCGTTCAGATCCTTTCGGTCGCATTTTCGCTCTGCGGACGTCCATACCGAAGTACGGCTGTCCAACCGTCGTGACCGACGTTGTCCACCGCCTGCTCCACTGATGACTGGGAGCAGGCACGACGACTTGAGCGCCATTTCCTTTATAGGGATTAATGACTTGCACAGCATCTACCGCACCCCCTCTCTTTCGCCCTCACCTGAGCCCGGTGTCACAGTCAAGAAGAACTGAGGTAACTGAGGGCTCAAGTGGCCCGCGGGACTGGAGCTGCCCCTAGGCGTGTCGCCACGCCCGGCTCGGATCCCACCAGGTGGAATTGCCATAAAGGCCACTTTAAAAACGACCCGTTGTAGCCTGACTCTCAACCCACCCGTCCGCCACTTCGCACAAAAACACTCAACTTGCCAGATACGAGGAAATACACTGATTGATCCATTGACACTGACTGCTGGTTGGATGTCCCTGGCTCTAAAAGTCATGATATGCTGGACAAGACTCCAAAGGAAGGCAAGATAATACAGATCAAGCGATCGTTCCTGTGGCCA